AAGCCGCGTTTGATTACGGGGAGTTCCGCGAATAAATGTGTATCTTGCGATTTGCGCGACAGGATTGAGAACGTCGCGTGCCTTTCGACTGCTCGAGCCGCAGCTCGATCGAGGATGCATTTGGAGGACGAGTTACGGATAGGAGAAGCTCTTAGCGCGACCGAAGACCGACGATCATAAGTATGCACGGTGCATTTTCCGTTGGGCATTATATATTTATTAGCCTCTCGACGAGTTTACTACACAGTCTCTCTCGCGAGACGCTCTGTGTAAACAGCGACGGTAAACAGAGAGCGCCGCAGCCTCCATGTATTATTCTGTCGTCCATAAATTCGGAGTTATTTTCTTAAAATAAACACCGAGAGACAGGCGCGAGATATGGAGGAGATATCCTGCTGAATCCTATCATAAACGTTCTTAAGTTCTGTCATAAAAAAATCTCGCAAAGATACGCAAACCGCTGGTGAATTAATTTCTAGTCCGCTTGATTGCTCGCTGACTAAGCAATGATTAATCGCTGAATTACTTAGTCGCTACCCGCGAACTCTCTTTGGGATAATTATATGGACTTAACGCGATAATAACGTTGCTGAAATAAAAAGACCACAACGGGTCGAACGAGTCTGTTTGTCGCACGCGCCAGAAGACGCGTAAGAATCGTCGCCGAGAGAGGTACAGGCGCGAAGATTCTTATTCTCCACTATCGCTCTCAGAACGGAAACCACTTTACGCTACTTCCGGCCGTTAATACAGATATCCTCTTCGGGGATGAAGCATCTTTATTTTTAGAATACGGACATAATACCACACATTCATCGTATGGGCACGGTATTCGCAGAAGACCGCGAGAGGATCCATCCACCATCGGTAAATCGCCGTGAAATCATATTTCGAGGAAGATTACAATAGCATTAAATAATAATATTGTACACGAAGTAAGGAGGACATGTGAAGACATATCCTCATTGATTATCAGATGGAGGTCACGTCTGAGGAGTGTAAAGACAATGTTGTCTTGAAACAAGAAAAGAATTGTACATTAAACGGAAACGAGTCATCTGTATTATCCATTGTGTGTTTTTGTCAATATTTTTACCGTGCAATACTGCACGATATATGAGATCGTGCACGTTTGCGTCTCCGGTGTAAAGACGCGGTGTGTAGTGCGAGTGTTTGCTTCACTCGAGTGAGTGATAAGTCGTATTACTTATGATATTCCAGCAGCCTGCCAACAGAGCGGTTGTGTCATGCCCGCGATAATACTCGTTCTCGTATTAATGAATGGAAATCACAATTTGACTTATTTTTAAGAGAAATTGGTTTTCCCATTAGAGATATCTCGTAAAGCCTGTAATATTATCGCCCGGCGTCAAGCGCCATGTGTTGAACGTTACACACGTTTATTCTTACGTTGGCTTGTACAAACAGACGGGGACGTCGAACTGGAAAAACTAGTAATTATAGGAGCTTGGTCACGGCTCGTGGTTTTCAATTTACCGCTGATAGCGGTAATTACGTGTTCCGCGCTACCTTGAAATCATACAGCTCGAACTAGTGGTGTCGTATATTCACCGGCGATCGTAACGATGAATATACTGATAGTCAGTATTCGCGCCTTGCGTCTTTCGTGATATTTTTTTTTCTGATTCTAAGTAGGCTAATAAGTATCAATGGCGTCACATTTGTTCAACACGTTTATACCGACAAAAATTTTTATTGGAATTAGCCCCGTTTTGTACTTTATCTAAGATATATTTTATCATGCGCGGTATTGTGTGTGTATTAATAAAATTCGTTTTCACAGCTTTTATTAGTAAACTTTTATCTAAAACAAGAAATTAGAATTTTATTTAGAATAAAGCTTTAAATTTTGTTTTGAATAAAATTTTTCTAAAAAACTTTTATTCTAAATGAAATTCGAAATTTGTATTCTAATAATAAATAATAATTCTAATAATATTAGATATAATAAAGATAGATATAATAAAGTATTCTAATAATAAATAATAAAATTTATATTCTAATAATAAATAATCTAATAATAAATAATTTATTAATAATAATCTCTAATAAATAAAATTTCATCCCAAATAAAATTCCGGAAAAAAAGTGTCCAATCGAACGGACACGCAAATGTCGAGCGAGATCAAATTTGCCTCCTCATTATGAGGCTTTCATGTCCGTGGTTCTCAATATGCAACACAGCCACAGTTAATCTTACACACGCACACAACGCGACGCTCTAAGACAAATGATTTCGTACCGGTGAAGCATAATGAGCCAGCTCGAACTGCATTCCGCAGACGATAAGCATATCTTGGTTCGTAATGAGTGCGAGCTCTTCCACAAACCTCGCGGCGAGCGCGTTCTGCAGCAATGGCAATTCACGAAATATTTTTCCCGCTTCAGCAATTTCTACTCTACTCAAATGCCGGACGATTTCGATCGTATTTCGCAATTCAAACACCGACATCATCGTTTTCGACGTACACAGACGTAACAAGAAAATTAACGATTTCTGTAAAATATATTTATTTCAACCCCTCCCTCCCGCTCCTTCCTCTGTGAATGCGTGACCGCCCGGCAAGGGTCGAATAAGTTTCGCATTCCGCAATGTTGCGCGAAGCAATTACATAAGCAATAGCGTAAAATCAGCATACGCATTTTCTGCAACGCCTCTCTCGGAGGGTTCAACAAGTCTGAGCGTTGGTCACGCTGGCGTGCTCGCGAAGAGAGACCCGAGAGTTCCATCGGTTCTCGTTGCAGGATAGCACAATTTCGAGCGCCGCCATCGCGGCGAAGAAACGTTCCAGAAGATATATCGGGGAGGTGAAGAGCGCGAACACAGCCGAAGAAGTGTACCATGGCCAGCGGGTTCCGCGAGGGACGCTCCCTTCTTCGGCAACTGGATCTCATTTTAATTCCCCTCGAAGGAAACGATCGCCTAGCAGCTGTTGCCGCTTACGGAACCAAACGAGCGAATCGCCCGGACCAAGGATCCCGTAATCCTCGGGATACCTGAGGTGAGGAAAGGAAACTGACGCGCCTTGCCCAGGTGTTGCCGAGAAACTTCTTTTCCAACCAGATCGTGTACGAATCTCACTTAATGATAAATATTATATAGACACGCCAGGGATTGGCTAGCTCCTTCGCGAGATGCGTAGAGAATGTTTCAGAGAGCGAGAGAGAGAGAGAGAGAGAGAGAGAGAGAGAGAGAGAGAGAGAGAGAGAAAGAGAGAGAGAGAGGGGGGAAGGAGGGAGGGAGGGAGAGAGAGCATGGAATTTTAACAAACTGAATGATAAAGTCCGATTGTTCTTAACGGGGAAACATCGGAGCATCGAATGCACGTCAAACGGGCGTTGCTTTCAAATAAAACGAAAGAAATTTTTGCCGCGTCCCATTTCTCTTATCTCTGATCTTGATTACATTTGTGCGAGGCGCTTGTTTATCGCGAGATCGCACGCGATTACTTATCGTGATTATCTACACGTCGGTTCACAGTCTGTAATTTCGACCTTTAGACACGGCGCGAGCGAATTCAATTTCGCCGGTTCGTTTATTATAATTCCAGAATGTCGAATAATTAACGGTACTTTTTCTCCGCGTTCGCGTACGCGCATAAGGTGGAATGTGCATGGCCAATCAATAATCTCACCCGAAAAGTCCGTGTTCCCTGTGTTTAACGGATTAAAATGATAATGATGTTTTTGCGAAAGTGGTTGCGACGCTTCGGACATATTTACGACATTTAGCGCGCGCGCGTGCACTGTCGTCTACGGATAAATTTTTATAAAAAAAAAAAAAATTAGAAAAAGTAACATCCGTCACAAGAACTTGCAGTGCGCTCTTGGATCGTCCAACAAGAATTGTTGGAAATGCGAGATAAACACAATACGCGACAATTGTGTAAAATCCTAAATGTTTTATAGATGTCTCAGTCTCTCGTTTTGTTTCGGATCGCGCTGGTTTCCTCTCGTGATTGTATGTTTATCGGTACATGACTGATATAAACACGAAGCAGCGAGGATACAGCGAGTAGCGGCGATGGGGCTTCGATATTTACCGTGGGCTTTACTTGCTCGTTACGTTGCGCAATACGCGAAACTGTTGTGTCATTTCTTTTACTGTGACTATTTTACAATAACATTGTATCGGTTGAGATTGGAGCGATTACTGTGTCACTTCGTTGCTTTCGAGCCACTGAAGCGACGATAGTCGCAACAATGCGGATTATCGATACATTTAATTGACTTCAATTTAACAAGACAAGACTTATTGCATTACAATCGCGATCGATGCGAAGACGAGTTTGCGAAGATGAGCCACAATTCCGCGCGGTCTCTCCGTCCTGCCGAAGGTCCTGCCGCGCGCTCAATTGATCCTGGATCCTCCACTCGAAGGTCCAGCTTAGATCAAAATAATTGTATCACTCGGTGACGCACCGCGATACTTCTCAACAATGCGATCGACGCTCGTCGATTATCAGTCTCATGATCTTTATCAAAGTCACTTTTTAATCGTTTCATAATTAAAAGATTGGCCTTGTGCGTTTGGAGATGCATCAGTCCGATTAATCCAACCCTTGATTTTCTAATAATATATAATAATAACCATCCATGTCAACTTGATGATTTCTGATCAAGAACGCAGCTGTATCATCTTGAACGATTTGACAACGACAATTAGCGCGTCGCACAACCGAGAAATATTCTAACGTCATATTCACCCCGGTTGACCTTGTTACCCCGGCTGGGTAGCATCAGACAACCACCTCGCTCATGAATTCGTCCGACGACCTGGGTCGCGGCTGCGCGAAAATGCACCCTTAGTAGGTCGAGTCCACGTATCCTGCGACCGGGGGGTGGCGCTGTTGACTAGGTCAGGGTGGCAGGAGTGCCACGAGCTCGCGCGCGCGCTAGAGAGAGAGAGAGAGAGAGAGAGAAAGAGAACGAAGGAAAAGAGCGGTTGACCGAGTGTCGAGAGCGCGATCATCTCTCACCTTTCTCTGCGCCTCGGCGGCAAATCCGGACTTGGCGGCTCTGTTGCAGGCCATTGTCTCCTCGCTTCCTGCTGCGTTGCACACGGTGACACGGAGGCGCGCGTTCGAACGGCGGCGAGAATCCGCGGGTCTCTCGAGCAGCAAGCCGTAACAAGACGAAACTTACACTTCGACGGACACGACTCTACTGGAAGGGAGCCGCCGCGACCAGACGGCGACAACACGCTCCGTCGAGTTGCCGCGACGCGCTCATTGGCCGCACATGAGTATCGAGCTTTCGTCCGGTGGCGCGCGACACGTGACCTCCGTTCTCCAGGCCGCTCCGGAGGTGACGTCAGACACGGCGGCCGGATGATCCTCGGTGAGACATGGCGAGAAGAAAAGGCCGTCCGCGCCTTCGCGAGAACTCGCCGCGATATTCCCGGGAAATTCGCGCCATTGGAAGCCAGCACGTAGGTGCGTCCTCTACACATTCGCTGAATTTTCTGCTCCTCGACTGTGAACGTTCGCAGAGAAAGCAGGCGCGAAATATATCTCTGTTTCAGGGCCGAAGCGCGAAGACGAAGACGGTTAGAACAGACGGACGTCGCGGTCGCTAGATCGAGAAAAACGACGCGATGTAACGGATGCATCGTTTTCGAAAAAGTGTCTGAGACGTTGGGTGCCTGGTAACGTACTTTGTATCTGCTTCTTATTCGAGTTATTATTTAAAAGTGGCAAAAGACTCTCTCTCTCTCTCTCACACACACACACATACACTGTAGGTTATGAGAGAAAACTAAATGAGAGAAAGCTAAAGAGAAAACTAAACTGATGAATATTTCGAATGACGAGAGAAACAATGTCCGGAGCGACGAAGGAATTTCAAGCCGCACCTAACCTGAAATTCGAATCTCGCTTCGTGCCTGCCTTGTTCTCTCCGGCTAAGCCGGAGATGACGTCAGTCATCTCGATGTTCTAGCGCTCGAAACTAGCCAGCGCTGCATGAAAATTCAAAGCCGCTTCTCCTTTTCGCCCAATTGCCGCGCGATTTTTGCGTCAATTTTTTAGCCAGCGCGCAGTTTCGTGGGTATCCGAGAATTCGATAGTCAAAAAATTAAGGTCATACATTCAATATCATAATTGAATCAATCGAAGGGAAATCGTGCTGCACATTTCAGAGAAGTTGAAATAGCTCTTACTCCTACTTCTTTTTCTCGCGGTAAGTCTATATCCGATCATAACGTTGATTCGACGTTGATTTGACGTTGAGATGGTCGATGAAACGTTGAGTCAACGTTAATTCAATCCTCATCGACGCCGAATCAACGTTGTGGTTCTGACTGGGATAACTGAGAAAAGGGGATACTTAAACTTGGGGTTGCTTTGAAGCTTCATACTGAAGGCTGAATCTCTTTAATCCCGAGTATAAGAAATAGAGTTAAGATGTGTTTTGCTCGATTTTCAAGTCTGGAATTCGCGCGCACGCGCTCATCCTCTGGCTTCGGATACAATCGTTGAAGAACGGACGACCTTCTCCGAGGCCTCGCGCAGTCTTCCTACATGGAACAAAAAAGGTATCCTTTGGGTCATGGAACCTTCGATGGATATAGGCTATAGGTTTCTTCGTATGCCTTCACCCGGCTGGTCTTCATTGTTCGCTGCGCGACGGCACGACGGGAACTCGTTCTGGAAACGAAACTGGTATCACGTCGGCATGTGAGCTCACATATGTATAGGGTGATAAAAACATCGCCGTCGTAAGATTCGGGAACTGTTGCTACGTGTCGGAACGGTGCGTAAAATGAAGCGCAAGCACGCGTAAAAAGGCGCGGCTTCTAAGTTACGGCGGTTTTAACGTGGTCGACAAGTTAAGAGGAAAAGTATCGAATGTTGCATCGACAATCACACGCTTAAGCGTGGACCCCCGTCCGAATTTATGATGTATATTTCTTATATCACTGTGCACACGCGGTAGACGAGAAAATGAAACGCGGGTGTATACGTCGTCATTTATTATTTATATAAATACGCGATAAGGAGTTACGTAAACGTGGAAGAATAAGCTCGTAGTGGATTACATGAGTCATTGAAGGTACAAGCTCAAGGAAGTATAAGCGGATATATAAAGTGTTAAGTAAAATTTATATATATACACACACACACATATATTTTTACGAAATACAAGGTATGTATTTCGATTTTTATGTTTCCCTCCTCGAAAACTGTTCTTTTGCAAATCTGGATAATTTAATGTCACAGATGTAAGTATGCTACTTACTACTTTTTTATTGTTTTATATTACTTAATATTTTTTTACTGTTCCGAATTTTAACGGTAAATTTACAGGTGGAAATTAGCGTTTTATCCGGCTTAAATTCAGGAACATCGAAACTCACGACGCGCAAATCACCCTCACCTTTCTCCCCAAAGAATGCCCCCGCTATATTCGCGCCAGCACGTTTTACGACCGCGCTCTAGTCTATTTGCATTTCTACCGCCTTCTAAGGACGTTCAGTGCTCCGTGAGAAAAGCAGTGCTACACCGAGAGGAATGCGAGGAATTCACTTAATAACAACTTCGCCTCTGTGTATATATGCGGTAAAGCAAAACGGAGAAATCTGTGCTCGTTTTTCGATATTATATATCTCCGCGTTTGCATCTTTTACTCGGTGCACGCGTTTTCGTTTACGCTCGCTGTCTACGCACGAAGCGGGATAAATACCGGAACGCACGCATATTGCATCTTATAATACGTAGATATCTAGGAAAGAGATGTCCACGCTTTTATATAAATCTTTCGCAATGTCGTAAAGTCTGCACAACGCTTTCAAGGTGTTTGACGAGTTTTCGAGCGTCGAAATATTCGTGCCTGAAATACATATGTATTCTTGCGTAAGAAGCGCGCTATCGTCTTTTTCGATGTTGAAGCAAATGGATACAAAGACAAGCGTTATATCGTTATCTCTTCGCGTGTTACGTCCAGAACATTGATTATGCGAATGTAATTATTATGGTCGGGCGTTTGGCTCGATACCCGATAAACGTGTGCCGTATTTGAAATCGATGACGATCGGCCTTCGCGCGATGTGCACTAAATTTCTGTTTACGCACATTGCTACGTATGTCACGTATCGATGACTCAATCGCCTGTATTGGAAATCTTAACGGGCGTACGTGTCCCGAGATGTGTCTTTGGCGGAACGTTATTTCTGTTCTGAAGATGAAGTATGTACATCCTTTGCGATTTGTCCGCGAGTTCATATAAGGATAATGTTCCAATTAGTGATCGAGCAACCCCATCGTGAAAATAAATTAATAATATACGTTTCAAATTAACGACACATACAAAGTTCATTTTGTTGGGAAGTTTTAATATGTGGGATTTTTTAATTGTATTCTATTTTTCTAAGTTATGGAAAGATTTCAACATTTTTATGTTTTCTCAGAAATGACCGAGATAGACATTTAGTGAGACGGCAGTTTAGTTTTGATGAACTTGAGTAACTACATAAAAACCTAACAGACATTAAATCATATCAATTTTCTAAAGTGTCGGCGAGGAATTGTCATCGTCAGTAAACAGTAATACGCTCGTAGCTTACGACGATTTACCATCTACGCTATGCGGCTTTTAATTTTATTCGAAATTTGTTACAACCGATGACGTATAAAATGTAAGAAAAGAGTACACACACACGTTTATAGGATGGACATCGACTCGCATTACTTGTATTATTACTTGTATAGGTGCAATTATCACGAAAATCGGGATACTCTCTAATTCGGGCACATTCGCCTTATTTATAATAGAAAATCAATTGATCGAAATGTGCGAGATTCGCTTTAGGTTTCTCGAAACGCGATCTACGATAACAGAGGGACCACACACACGCGCACTCAGCTGCCAAGTGCATTACGCTATTGCGTGAGACAATGCACCGTGCAGTGGTGCGATGCGCGCCAAGGTCGCGGTCACATACGTACGTAAGTGGCGAGTATTCTCCGAGAGTACCTCTCGGAGAGGCACTCGTACGAGCAGCACCAACACGCATACACCGTGCGTGTATTCGCGCGACTCGCGAGTATAGTCGCGCGCGAAGAAGCGTTAAGGGCAAAGGCCTTGTTGCGGCGTGCTCTTTTTGCGGGATTGGCGGTGAATCGAAATCACGGTGCGAACGAGACGATATCCTTGACAGTGCGATGCGCCGCGCGTGTTTTATAATATTTTTATTTGCGAGCCAAGAGAGACTCGGGAGTCAACGTCATCATCACGTATCGAAACGTGACTCGGGACGTGTCGCAAACGTAAGCCTGTGAGACATGTTTGCCGTGCACGCGATCGTCCTCCGTGTTAATTATAATGTATTTTTGCACTCACCTGACGGTGAAGTACCAAGTGTTTAGGTGCGAGGCGTGTATTCTCCCAATATTTTTCGAGTTCTGCTTACGAGACTTGCTTCTCTTTCATTGCACTGTGATCACGCAAATTCTATATTTTTTAATTCCAGTGTGAAATTCCTGACAGAATGCGTGCTTCTGAGGCATGTTGATATTCGTTTTTGGAGAGCTATTTTGGAGAAATTTTGTACTATGCATGTCACGTTATTTTCTGAGAATTCTCTCTCTCTCTCTCTCTCTCTCTCTCTCTCTCTCTCTCTCTCTCGTTGATGATATTAAATTATATTATTGGTAAATCCACGATACTATATTCGGGGATATTTCACAAAATTCATAAACACTTGCCACGTCTGTAACAAAGAGAATGATACTTTTATATTCATATGAACATTATTGATAACGGAGAGTGTTATACGCGGAAAATAATCAAATTTTGCTTCGCGCTGTATCGAGGGTATATTATTAAAGCACAGCGTATTTAATAACGCTTTCTGAGGTGAAAACGTGAACTGCATTTTTGTGCGTGTGCTAAATGATTCCGTGAATAAAACTGTTACGCATTCAGAACGGAGTCAAGACCAGTTTATCGAGTTTTTTGCTTGCTTGCCGGTTCACTTACGATTTCCTTCGAAGGATGATTAAAATCGGATTGAGTGAAGACCAGTTCAGGCAACGTCCTTGTACCGTAGGGATGCTCCGACCGAGAATTTAGTTTTTATGTCGACCTATATTCAGCGCACACAGTATTGAAACAATAAACTTTTTCGGCTTCAATGTTGCCTCAATGGCTATGAAAGATAAGAGCACAGAAGAAAACTTCCCTATATTTCATATTCCGCATATTCTCTTTCGCACGACTAGCAGATTCTTAAAAAGAAAAAAGAAAAAGAAACGCAGAATAACGAAATAATAATCTATTTCGATTTGAAAAAAATTTCAAAATATAACTAATAATATATCTAAAGATTTGAATAAATTAAAGTAAAATGATGAGATTATTTTTTATGATCAAATTAGTTCATATAAATTATAACAGATGGGAAAACACTGTAAGAAAAATTGCGTTATAAAACAAAAACTCATGACGACATGTACTGTAATCGAAATCGTTTTATTTGATACTCTGTATGTGTTTCTGCTCGAATCTTGCTCGAGTCTCGTAAATATAACATTCGGAACATCTGCTATACCCACGGTGTGTGCCTGGCGATGTAACATAGTCTTCCATAGAAAGGTTGCTATCACATTGACCCTTATATTAAACAAAGAAGGCACGCGCCAAGGTTTCCCCCAAAGCGCAGGTGGTAGCTCCCTAAGCGAGAAACACATTTAACAGCCTGACGTCTCTTCTCAGCTGTAGCGCGCGGAGAACGGACAGGAGGAAGTAGCAAATAAATTATGAACAGCTGTAAACCGATGCATGCGAGGCAGCGTATCTAGTTGTGTGATGCCTTTTTAATGTTTCATCCAACTCTTTTTTTCTCTCGTTTCAATTGATCAACAGTAAAATTTCGTGAGTGGCAATCTATCTTCATTTATCGCACTCCAATGAGAACGTCGTGCCTAATCACGTGATGTATACATACACATAGCTGGAGAAGAGATAAGAACACTCCGGAGGGATTTATATATATTGTATTATTTTTATTTAAGCATTTTGTCCCATATCATTTCAGTCATGTTACAATATATTACAAGCAACATAGTTACCTGTTATTTTTATATGACTAATATCTCTAGACTTTTAATGCGTTATATTAATGTATGAAATCGCAAAACCAACAATCATTCAACAAATTACAGACTGGAGCTTGGAAACGTATTCGATCGTTTAACACTCTGTCCGGCAAAATTAATCTTCTCGTGACTTAACGACGGCGAATAACAATTCGTAGTACTCGTAGTTCACGATGCTCGTCAAGTTGGTAAAATATGTGATATTTCTTTCTTTCCTTCTCTTTTCCTTGAAGATATGTATTTTACATTTCGCAAGCGGCATCCTCATCAGAACTGACACAATAGCATTATCAATTTATGGCATCTGTGATATGCATAAAGAAATGTATATATATATATATATATGTGTGTGTGTGTGTGTATATATGTATATATGTATATGTGCTGCGCGTTTAATTCATTTAGAATATAAAAGTTATCCGCTCGAAACGGCTGATTGTGTATGTGTGACTATCTGTGTGTATGTGTGCACATGTGTGTGTGTGTGTGTGTGTGTGTGTGTGTGTGTGTGTGTGTGTGTGTATGTGTGTGCAGACCGGTCACTTAATAACAGAACCACGGTGAGCAGCTCGCACTTGAATAATATCGCGATCAAGTATTTTCTAGACAACTTTATTACATATCAGAATACAGCCTACAAGTTTGTTAGTTAAGTACTTATCCATATACTCTTAGATATAGTAACATTCGGCAGGCTTAAATAATAGACATTGCCGTTTTTAAATTCATTTAGAAAATATGAAAAATCACGTAACTGGGTAAAAAATAAACTTGAAAATTGTAATGCGCGTCATTCTGCTTTATCATCGATTATAAAAGGTTCCGTGTTCATTGATCACTAAATTCCAAGAGCGCCGGGTACCAGAAAAGGGTCAAGTATGGATATATTTCTGTCTATTTCCCGTTATATGTCGTCTAGAGTCGCAAACATGTACATTGTGTAAGTTACGTCGAGGAAGAGCCCGTGGCAGTGAACAGAATGGGTATGTAAATACAAGCTACGACCTATATAGATTATGTGATTTGATACATTGCTTTTGCATGCATTGTTAATGATATTTTTTTCCTTCCGTATATCCTTTATATTCATTATATCTTTTTTTTCTTTTTTCTTTTAAATCTGTTTGTAGTTTAGCTAGCAAGCATAACAATTGATTTTCTCATTACGATTAGTTTCATGATATGACGTGTCAATATGTAGTAAAGTTACTCTCAGGGGACCGCCGTAAGCCAAACCATAATCGTCTTATTCGATATAATTCAGCTATACAACGACATATATCAAAACTTATAAAATACCCAAAACCACCATTGGGACGGGTCCCCTGACCCTGCATTTGCGCGGCAGATATACCATGTACTCTTGTCTCTGATATGCGTTAGAGCCAGACTTGTTATTGGTCGATGATTACGATTAATGTTCTCCACAACGTGTATCGAATATCGAGGGTAGCGCCGTTGGATTCGCTAGTCGACTTGCTAGTGTCGTCTAGCATCAACGTCGCTCATCAATGAATGACGTTGATTATTACAAACGTCGTCATTGCGATCGTTATTTGAAAGCAGGTGGTGGTGCTCGTTGTCCATTCGTCTTCGATGTGTCCTCAGTCATGACTGTCACCAATTCGCCCACAGCTTTTCCTAAGTCGCCTGAAATCAAGAGAGACGGTCTTTGTCATCCTCGCCTGCCTTCTCGCCGCTGCTTTTGGACTCTAAACTCCAGACAGACGCGCTGTTAAAACAACAACTTTACACCGTATTAGATAACCGAGACATGCACACATTCGGACGTGCACAGTGGAGAGAAGCATGGAATGAGTCGAAGAGAGGGACACGGCGCCATACACGATACACAGAGATATAGATTTCGACGTTAATTTAACGCGCAATTAATAAGTCGCACCACCGATGGCGACGTCGCCATCGATAAAGTATTTCTCGACGAGCTTTAGAAGCACCTAAGAAAGAAGAAGCATAGTGGTCTCACCTTACATCCATCCTGTAGCGTGAAAAAAACAGGAAAGCAATGTTATTTCGTTGTCTCAAGCGGAAGTGACACGTGCATTACGGAGGTCGCGGGCATGAGAATCGATATTATGCTACATAATTGACACACGATCAAATTCACGTATAGATTTGAGAACGAACCTGCCATGTGCAAGAGATTGCCCACATTGTGGGCGACACTGTGAGAATGCGGCGGCGGTGGTGGTCTCTCTAAACTGCTCACTCTGCCCTCGTTTGAGCCTCCACCACCTATGTCCATATACCCAACAGCGATAAGCTTATCTAACTTTCAGTGCGTATTATTAAATATGTATATGTTTACACATGTGTATACGTTAGGCACTCCCTTCGCAGATGACGAATGATCAGTGTCATGATACTCTGCGAGTCTATTGATTTATCAAATTTTCATTCGCTATGTTTCGAAGATAATGAAGCTGATAATGTGTGTTAGAAATGTATCAAAACGTATGAGATTTATCCAAAGTGACCAATTCTATTTAATCCGCTTGATCGAAGTTTCATCGAGTCTTCGCTGTATTAATGTGCAGTTAGTGTAGCACCACCAGAAAGGCGTTACATCCGGTTGTTGTGCGTACGAGTTATAATGAATATGTATGATATAGTATAATCATTATATAGTCCGATTGAATATATTATTAGCAGACCCAAATTATAAGAGAGAGAAGAGATCCCAATGTATAATCTAAGACATCATATTTCCCATCGAGTTCGTATATTTCCCAAGAGTTCAGCAGTCAAGATTCAGATACGGTTATATATACCTGGAGAATCATGATAATGGCCGTTCATCTTCGCCGGAGAATCGGTTGCCAATTGTGATGCTGTCACACTTCGAGTTTGCAAAGTTCCGGTCTTCGATGGTGAAGACGCGTTTGGCTAAAAGAACATTTCAGATGTGATCAGCTTGATGTATCTATTTTGTAAATCATTTTTCGATCGCTACAAAATCAAGAGTATCATAGGAAAAGAGGAAAATTTCGTTAATGTAACTGAATTTGCTGTTGCCTAGACTAGATGAAAATTTGTTTGTAAAAACAGAAAGATTCCTATAGAAACTTTCTACTGAATCAATTATTCTCAGACTTGTATCAATAGTCGTTGTTTGAAATTTATCTCACGTAAGATACTTAGATCTGAGCGTAGAATTAGATTTGTGTTTTTCATTTAAATTGTATAATAAATATGACACTGCACTTATATTCGCAGTTCAACCGGGAGACACATCCGACTCTAAATTCAAATCTGAGTATCACTTAAGGCAATTTTCAAGTAGCGATTATCAATACAAGTCTCAGTTATCTCAACCGAGTTTCAATGCAATTGAATGTTCAAACGAACGTTTTTGGCAGAGATATCATACTTTTTATCATTGAGTTTTCATCTGGTCGTCACACGAACTGTTACACGAACTGAATTTCTCTCGCAAATAAAAAAAAAAATAAAGATACACAACGTGCCGGGTCTTTTACTCTGCCGTACCTCGTCTAAAAGTTGTCTGAGTCTCTGCAGCTGCGCCTCCAATTGGCGATTATGGTCCTCGAGTAATTGCATACGCGCTTCTAATCTTCCCTTATGCTGCCTCAGCAGCTTGGCTTCCGCGATCATATCACAGTCAGGCTGTCTAGTGCTGTGACCGTCCTCCGGTGTCGATCCCGGTGTCTGCTTGGAGCGCAATCTCTCGTATTCCGCCTGCAGCGTCGCATTCTCTTCTTCGAGTTCTCGTATCATCGCCTCGAGCTCTTCTCTTTGCTCGGCATCGATCGCAGCCATAACTTGGACTGGACTTCTCGGCATATTAACGTTGTCGCCGCCGTTCAAACTCTGACAGTAGTGCGCTATTAGCTGGTGCTCGTCGTCACTATCCGGGGTGGAGTTGCTTCTCGTGCGTGACAACTCGACTTCGGCGAGTCGAGAGGCGTACATCTCCAGACGGGAATGCATATCCTGGCTGAGCGAGCTGTGTTGGGGAGAAGGCGCCGGGCTCTCTAGCGCATCTCCTTCCAGGACAGTTTGCACGGGCAAATAGCCAACTCGAGGGTGTTTCTTGAAGTATCGTTTGGACTTGAATTTATTACGCAATGCTCGCGTGAAGTCGCGCACGTCCTCACCAGATGTAGTCTGCAAAGCGACAAATATTATTCAATATATATATATACACACAAACTTCGTTCTCTCTGTTCCTCAAATGACATTTAACGGAAGTGTCAATAAATAAACGCCTTACCGCCGTACAGTACTCTTGCATGGGATGAGTCAGCTTATGATTCTTCGCCTTGCGTCCCGAGAAGAAACAATTCTGACACATGTCGAAGTTGAAGCATTTCAAGCAGCGGTACCTGCAAGCGAAATCATTTTCACGTCAGCACGTTTCAACGATGTCGAAGCATCCTGTGTACGCATTGTCACCGTAAAAATGAATCATTCAATTATCGAATCACACGTCTCACCTGAACCCAATGATGGGATATTCCTTGCATATGTTGCATTTGGCTTGATGTTTCGCGGTCTCTGCCGCAGACAGTCTGTGCAGCACGGGCAGCCACACCATGCTCTGTGGCTCTTGCTGCAGCCAGCTCAAAAAGTGCACCGCCTCTATTTCGTTCTTATCTTTGCCTGCTTTCTCGAAGCAGCTGCGCACGCTGGGCTCGATGTTCGATCCTCCGAATGCCGCGACTTCGCCCAGTTGTCTCGGTACTTGTATGCAGTCGTGCAGCAGCAGTCCCAGCTTGCGCTGGTCCACCAACCTGTTGGGGTCCGCGATCAGACGGAACAGATCTGGAAGTAGCGCGAAAGCGTTATTGAGTGTTCTAAACATATTACAGACTAACAGTGAGCGGGATTTTCATGTATTACTCACATCTATACTTTTCCTCCAAATGCCCTTTGCACAGCAAGACTAACCCGACCTTGAACGAAAGAACTCGAATCTGGCCGGTTCGTTGGCTGAAAATGGCAACGTCAACGTTGTAAAACTTGTTGTAAAACTTGTTAATAGACGCGATAACAAGTTAATTATTGTCTTCGCTGCCTCGAGAGACAGCCCCGATTTGTTCGACGACAATAGGTGCAGCGGTATACCGAGTCAGTCAAAAAATTCAAATGTGATATATTTTTTCAATAGATGTTTCTTACATTAAAGATTTATTTTTGGTGTGTGCATAGAATGATGATCATTGGCATCTTAAAGCCGCATTTTTTAATAAGGCAGAAAAAGGTAAGGCATAAAAAGAAGTTGAAAAATAAAACTTCTCTGAGTGTTAACGAGGAGCAACTGCATAGGACAAGTAAAATTTGACTGAAGAATCGAACTGAACTTTTTGACTGAGCAAGTTTGACGAAGGAAATAAGAAGAAACGAGATACGAGTTGAATTCGCTTCTTTAAGCAGGCATATTCGCTTAACGTACCTGTCGTATACATTGAGGAGCCAATTGATGGCCAGGTCAATGCAAAGCGGCACAGACATCTGTGCCGGGTTGTCCACTGCGATTCCTTCGTACAGCGATGTCAGTACTGTTACCATGTCGGGGATGTCGATCAATTTGTCATTCTGTGCCCGAAGCCCGTGTGAATCAAACTGTGCCAACGCGGTGGCGAGGCTCAGCATGTCCACTAAAACGATAGAAGGATAAATATATACGTATATGATTATGTGTTCTCGGAGAACAGTAATTTCTACATTAATGTATTGTGTGTACACAATGTATCGTGGATGCGCGTGATTAATCGAGAAAATGGTGACAGTTAATGAACGCTCGATGCTGACTAATCAGCGATAAAGGTATGATTGATCACCAAGGGTGAGGCGATACTCACGGCACAGTCGCTTTTGTACGGTGCGCAGCTTCATGGCGGTTCGGTACGCGGAGAAGCGAACCTCGTTTAGGTCCGCGAGAGAAGACATCAGCTCAATCATCTTCGGATGATCCCAATGCGTAGTCTCCAAATGATGGCTACAAGAAGACGATTTTGTCTCAGATATTAAGCTTCTCGGGAGTCAACTATGCGAAGTAACAGAGGTCGACATTCTTCCATTTTAGATTTTAGATACATACAACTGAAGTAATGTTATGTTTTAGATGACGCAACTCTAAAATCGCTTTGGTAGAGAGTGCAGTCGAAATTCTTAAGCAAATCGAATAAATCAAATAATCGTTCAAATAAATTAGACGATAAGCAAATATGATGCAGATCTGAATAAATAAATCCGGAAGAGTCAGCATTCTCCTTTTGGGAGTCTCGGCCTCGCCTTCGGAGTAACCGCGCGTCGCGGCGATTTGGGAAATTTGAGGCGACTGTACGAGATGCAAGGAGGATCGATTACTTGATATAGTAAGGCACTTTGGCGGGTGTGAGGGCTCTCTCCCATGGTGGTTCTACGCTGCTCGCGAGGAAAGCCTGACTACCCGGAGTGCTGCCATCCTTCCCGAATCCGCTTAGCAACTTGTAACGTTCGTCAACTGCGACTTGCAGCACCTTCCACCTGCGAAGATACATGAAAAAGTTAACCCCGTCTTGCGCGTCCCAAAATCAAAGTCCCCCGTTTTACGAGGCGGCTCGCCTCGGAATAAGCCTGGTGTGCCAATTCCGAACCCGTCACGATGTACCGACGATACCCAGCACGTAAAACAAAGTGGCTTCTCGAGGAGCGGAAAGAGAAACGCTTTGTACACCGTCTCGGAACCTTAGACGCTCGTAAAAAGGATATCTCACGCGGATATTTTCGCGCGATCGCGCACCTATCGTTTCTCTACTTTCTCGGAGGAGGATCTCGATATCGACCGAGAGATCCGGCCTGCGGATTGCTCCGGTAGAATCTGTCATTAAAATTAAGTGCATCGCGGTCTCGAGACACACCTCGTATACACGCATGCGAGAGAAAGAGAGGACGCGCGCGCGCGCGCGCGAGAGAGTTTCGTTCGGAAGCGCTAAGACCGCGCGATAAATTTTTACGCGGCCGTTAAAGCATACCTGGTGTTCAGATCTTCGAGTTTCGCCAGTAAAGCGTGAGAAACGATGACGCTGCTCGACGCGAAGACGCTCGCCTGGTCGTTCGCGTCCTCGATGTTTCTCTGGATAGGTACCAGTCGCTCGCCGAATTTCTGCAACTGCTCCAGCAATTCCGTCGCCTCGTTGGCGTCGTTTGGATTCTGCCAGCCGCTCTGAATCGCCTCGGCGCCGGCCATCCGCGAGGAGAGATCCTCGAGGGACTTTTGGAAGACACATATTTTCTGAAATTGCAAACAAAAGGAGCGAACCTATTAATCGGAGACGGTGTTGTTTCCCGCGTCGTAGAACGTTATCATTCGCGAGGACGTCTGCATCTTCGAGCAGCTGGGAGGAACCTGCGGAATCTCTGGGAATATCTTCATCTGAGGGACCATTAGCCCGCGGAGATTGTTTGAGATTAAAAAGATATCTTATATTTTTAGCCGCTGTATGCACGCGTGTCATCACAAGGAAACCGCTGGGAGGCGCGTCGCAAGCTTAAGCGGCGTGACTCTCGCAAGGGTCTGACCATTACAGGGATAAAGAGAGAGAAAAAGAGGAAGAGAGAGAGAGAGAGAGAGAGAGAGAGAGAGAGAGAGAGAGAGGAGAGAGAGAGAGAGAGAGAGAGAGAGAGAGAGAGAGAGAGAGAGAGAGAGAGAGAGAGAGAGAGAGAGAGAGAGAGAGAGAGAGAGAGAGAGAGAGAGAAACACGAGAGACGAAGGAGACGGGGAGATAGAGCGAGAGAGCGTCGTTTGCCAGAGTGAAAAATTCGTCTCCCGTGGAAGGATTACACGGCAAACGATATTAATCCGCCAGGGGTTAACGAACCGCGGAACGTCCCCGGCAAAGTTACGCGGTGGGGAAGAAAAGCACGCGCATAACTACGTATATTTGGCCAATTCATACGGCTAGTTGGAGAGAGAGAGAGAGAGAGAGAGAGAGGGAGAGAGAGAGAGAGAGAGAGAGAGGGGGGGGGGGGAGGAGAAGAGAGCGCAGCGTTTATATTCACGACCGCGACCAGGCAGTTTAACGCTTTCCCGAACTGCGGCCGCAGTTTTCACGGTGTATGCGTAACGGCGGTTTTAATTATTAACAAGCGTTTCTCGCGCCCGTCGAAATTTTTCGACGTTCTCCCGCGCCGTGTGTGTTGCCACGGAGAAAGAGAGAGGGAGGGAGCGCGTGCACGCGATCCGTTTGATACAAGCGATCGTATTCAGCGCGATATAAAACAGCAAACGACGGTAGCGTCAATTAAAACATTCATTTTCACGCGACGTAAATTCGGATTATCCATTCGCGGCGATACTATCCGATGCGGCGTACGCTTTACGGTGTGCGCAGCTGCGCGAAACGTTCGACTTGTTTTTGTTGCCGTAATTACGGCCAAAAGTGCTGCTACTGGCGTGCGAGAAAAAGTTTCGCGTGAGCGGCGCTATTCGCGAACGACGGACGGATTTTGCCAGTCGCGAAAAGAGTCGCGCGACTGCGTGCACACGCTCGGGATTGCGCTCGCCGTTGTGTGTATGCGCGCGCGCGCGCGAGTTACGACACATATATTGCTCTATTTAGATTCTTGCCGCAGTCACTTCACAGAAAAGTCCGCCGGCGTGAAAACCCGCCGCATAATTGACTCGGTCGTCATCATTAAATCGCAGCTGTTTCATAATTCCATCTTTCCGCTCGGAGGAGACCTTTTGGCAGGATGAAATTCGCGCAAGAAAAGGGAAAAACAAGATAACAGCCGTTCTGAATCGCCTCCGAATTATGAAAACGAATAATTGCCTTATCGTGACGTTTTGTCATTTGCTCCGCCGTTTCTTCTCTTCTGACGCGCCGCAAGAGAGAGAGAGAGAGAGAGAGAGAGAGAGAGAGAGAGAGAGAGAGAGAGAGAGAGAGAGAGAGAGAGAGAGAGAGAGAGAGAGAGAGAGAGAGAGAATGCGCGCGAATGAAGAGGTACAAATGGCATGCTCTTTTCAGGCCCTTTCAATTTTCATCCTCGGACAAGGCGCGGTAACTGGCGTCGCGATAAAGTCCTCCGGACATTTATCAGTCGGCGATACGCCATGGAGAATGATGGGGGATATGGGTGGAATGGGAGAGGGGGAGGGGAAGGAAGAAGAGAACGACGGTCGGTCTCACGACATTTGCATTCCAAATAAACGCCGTCGACGGACGCTAAATCGCTCTAATTAGTCGTCTCTCTATGGAAGTGCTTTAAGCGTCCCTTGTTCCGAGAACGGGATAAGGAAAAAGGCGGACGGCGCAAAAGAGAAGCGAGAATGGTGGGTGAAATGTGGGGAAGGACGGGGAGAGGATAGGGGAGGGAATAGAGAAAAGTTGGGATCCTACTCGCACCTGCGATCTGCGATGTGCGACAGAAAGTGGGACGATTGGGCCGATGGCAATGCCGACTCTGGAAAAAGCTGAGCCGCGCGCCTTTGTTCTTAACAATTTAAAGGCGGAGAGGGACAAAGAGAAAGGAGGAGAGACAGGGGCGGAGGTGAGAAAAATTATGAACGTGTGAACGGCGAATATTCAAAGTCGCTCCGAACGGAAGCAATTTGTTGCAATTGTTACACTGCGAATGTTCGGTTGTTATAAAAAATTTAGACAACTCGGGAAACACGAGAGAGAGTTGATGTTCATTCTGAAACAAACGATACTGATTCTGTTCACGCGTGCAGAGAAAAATATCATTTCGTTGTATATCGCTAAGAAAAGTGATAATTTAGTCTTCCGTCTCTCAAGTAATGCTTGTCTTCAATAAAGGACATCATTTTCTTCGTGAATACTCTCCTAAGTATATTCGTGACAAATGTTAGAAGAACTCATTATCATGTATTCGAAAGAAAAATTTATTTTCTTTTCAAAAATATTATAAACTTCATGCTCTATACAGAAACTAAATCGAATTTTTGTTTTAATATAATATTCTCGACTGAAGTGAAGTGGTGAACTTATCAGGATTAAAAATGTATTTTCAGAGTAAATCTGATATTTACGCTGAATTGATATGACAAGATTTGGGGATATATAAATTTGTGAAATATTTGAAATGACTAACGTTTATGCAACATATACTATTTTACATATATGTAACTCGCTTGTTATACACGTATCACGTATCACGTAACTCTTCGAAGCATACATTTTTCTGTTGATCTATTATTTATGAAATTTAGTATACAATGGTTTTTTGGGTCGCTGATCACGAATCCGAGATCCCAGAAAAAAATAGGTTTTTTTGCTCTTTGTTTATTTATAAAACTTTTGCAATAAATAACAAGTCCTCCTAAACTATTTTTTTTATATTCTTCTATCCCTAAGATATCAGTAAAATGCAAAAGAACCGATCTAAATGCGTTAATTAGATAACAAACGGCCAAAAAGTAAAGAAGTTTAGACAGTAACGTGGATTACCATCATGCATCAAAGGATTAACGTGAGATACATCACAATGTTTCCAAATGGAAAAAAAGAAATTGCTACAATTATATAGGAGGCCATAATGTATTACGATTCACATCACGCGTGCGTTTTATTGTACATATATTTTATGATAAATGTGTGTGTTATGAATGTTGCATAATCCGTGATGCGAATTGTGTTCGATAAAGCAATAATATTTAACGCGCATGCTAATGAGGAATTATTGTGTTCAATGAAAATGTAATTATACAGAACACTAAAATACACAATTGTAAAACATATATCCGTTCTCGCCCGCTCGGCCGCGTTCACCCCCGTTCACGGTCTTGCCGCTTTAGTGTCTGCGCGAAATCGTGCGAAAAAGTGGCCATAACGAGCGCTGATCACGTTGGCGAACCAGATTTATTTCAGCGCATGCACGCACGTACGCACGCACGCACGCACGCACGCACGCACGCACGCACGCACGCAGGCTGGCAGGCAGTTCGCATTCTGGTTACGTAAAAAGCACGAGAGTAAGACAGTAATTTGATTGTACAATGAGATCTCCGGGCACAAGAACGAAACGTTCTTGCACAAAAACGTTTAATGCGTGTAACAAACCGGTAGGCACGGCACGCTGAATGTAATATCTCGCCCATGGCTGAGGGATTTACAAAAAGAGCAATCCTGTAAAAGTAAGAGCAAAAGGCAGGAGACGACATTTTGCATTAAAAAAAATTACATAATTGTGCAGATTCGGCGTAAAGATCGGCGAATGTCCCGGCTTTGGAATAACATAGGAGAGAGAGAAGAGAGAGAAAAGAATCGGTCTGTCACGCGGGACGAGTTCCTCAAAACGATCGCGATAATTTGCTCGGCAAAATACGCATTCATATGCCGGCGAGTGATGTACAGACATAGCCGTCGTTGTCATAAATAAAAAAATTATAAAAAAATTACGGTGGATAAAAAAACGTGAGAAATGTAAGAGAGGGAGAGAGAGTGGCGACGTATCGAGCACTTCGGCCGGAAGAGCGTCGTGGCGACTTAATTCCAGGCATGCTCTAATAAGAATCATGAAATTGCATCTACCGATTCTGATCAGTTCCGCGGTGTTTCGGCAGAACCGGTTGTTCCCTGAGAGAAGAAAGGGAAAGATGCAGCGAAGTAGGTAGTAAAAAAAACCCGGAGCTTAATCAATATTTCGTATCCATGCGAATTTTTTTCGCCTTCGCTTTAATTTCCGAAGCAAGTAAAATAAAGTATATATAAATATTGGGGATACATACGGAGAAAAGAATTTCCGAAGGAGTGAACGTGCCAAAGGCGTTTCAATTGAAAAGTCCATAATTTCTGGCTCCTTAAACTGAATTTGGTTTATAAAAACGAGAAATTCTGTCTCCTTCAACTTAAAACGCGTTTGATTCGTTCGTTCTCAGTCTATTCAATCTGTTTTCTCCGCGTACAATTTCAGATGCGTTTCACTTTGAAATACTTGATTATTTACAAGAGAGCGTCCCTGATATATTTCTTCGTTTATTTCCCCGTACATAAATAGCTTGTCCCGAGATAGAAATGCTGCTCCTGAGAAGCGCAGCTTCCCCGTCGATACGGCGCCGAGCAACTTCACCTCGGACGTTATTTCGTGACTCTCGTTAAAGGCATTCTCCGCTTGATTCCGACGATAAATTCTGCCGGAAGGACTATCCTGATGCGTCGAGAGTGACACGGACGAGTGACGGATCGTGCACCTGGACGTCGTAAAATAATTGGCGGCTCCGTCGATATGGGCCTCCGCCAGTAGACTTTCGCGTGCAAAATTCGCCGGGGC